TCAAGTCAATGCACAGAAACGCACTTCTCGTACCCGCAGTGGCTCCAACTGTGGAGTCCTGGGCCAAGAAGCCTCGGAGGATCGACCTCGCTGCTGACTCTCCGATCTGCATTGCCTTCTCTGGCTGGGGCACATGGACATGGGCATCGGTGGTTGTTGGCAATGCCGCAGGATCCAGATCCTCTATCGCCAGAAGGTCCCGGGTCTGGGGAAGGTCCGCCTCTTCCAATAGGGGTTTTCTGAAAATGGCGGACAGTCGCCAGTTCTCCTGAGCCCGTTCAGCAGCCACTTCGTCCATCGGCATCAAAATGCGGGTGAGCATGAGCAGTGGCCTGACACTGTCACAGTCAAGTGAATCACACGTGACCAGAGTCCCACATCCCGGAATAACAACACAAATCAAACCCCATTGAACCTAGCTCTTCTCTCGGTCGTCGTTGCGCCCTTTGTAGGGCACCACAGCAACGTGGTCGAGATTGAGGTTGGACTCCGCAAGGAGCCTCAAAGCCTCCTGCTCTGTCTTGTGAAGCTGACCCTTGTTGTATGTAAACGTAGGTGTCAGGCACACGCCTCCAGCCACGGCATTCCTTAATTTAATTGCTTGTGACTGTGTACAGAAATTGAAAAGGACCTACGCAAACTTCATCATGCCAGAATCTGGCAAGCTACTGCCCATTCAAGATGGCCCCCATCAAAGATGCTTGATCTCGCTGAACTTGGGACGAAAACAAAGAGGGTGCACACCAATTCAGGATGACGATGCACTTCAAGTTCTCCGCCGAAATCTGGTTTAGCCTGCAGATGTACTTCATGGCCTCTTGGATGGTCTTGAGGCCCTGGGCTGCTGACTCCAAAACAGCAAACTCCATCCTCCAAGTTTCCGAGCTTCGCCGCATGATGCCTTCAGCCATCTCCTTGGCTCGATTCTGCCTGCCAAGCCTCCACTGAAGATTCTGATGATAAACCCCGGCTTCGCGATCGCGGCTCCGAACAAGCCAAGCACCATACACGTCCATGTCGTGTCGCATGGAAGCAATGGCAAGATCGAACTCCTGCCGCTCCAGCTGTCCCGGATTGATGCTGTTCGAAACCGCACCAAGGTTGCGAAGCTTCTTCTCCCCGTCTGCGACATGCTTTTGGATGTATTCCCTGAGCACCAGAATGTCTGCAGGAGCAAGGTTGCTTCTCTTCTCTGAAAGGGCTCCTTGGAGCTGCAGAAGCAAGTTCATGTCTCCCTGCACCAGGAGTGTGCATACGTCTTCCTTGACCTGCAGGGGCACTGAGTCCTCCAGCTCATGAACAAGGGAGTGCAAGAGCTGGCATACCAAAGCGGCCTCCTCCACATCCGACCCGCTGAACTTGCATCGTGAGCCTGCAAGCTTCATCCGGTGTCGATTGTCCAGGTACTTGATCATGAGGCAGAAGCCTTCGTCCGTCACCTGGAGCCGACTGTTCCATTCTCTGGGGTAGCCCTTCGGCCCACCACCTGGCAACACCTTCTTGTTGCTCCATTGGTTGTCGTTGAATGCTCCTTGAGACCCGAACTCGTTCAAGTGTTCGAGCAGCGCATCGACGCAAAACTGTGGCAGATTCAACAGGGACAACAGGGCCGTGTGCTTGGCCCCTTTGATCTGCCCATCCTTCGTGCACGTGCGGTTCCACTCCTTAATGATACTGGTTGCATCATGATTGTGCTTCTTCAGCACCATCATTTTGGCCAGCCATGTCAAGCAACCTCGCTCAAAGGGTAACTGATGACATAAGAACACCGAAACTACACACCCACAAAACCCAGCTGTCCAAGGAGCAGTGAGCCTTGCGAATGTCCCCGCGTGCACTCATCTTTGCGTTGAACAGGGCCACTGAGGCAATGTCACAGCCACAGTCTGCCTGTGTGACATGAATCTCACACATGCTCTCCTGCACGAAGGTCTTCAAATGGAAGCCGTACCGCATGACAAGGCTGGCCAGCACAAGGCATGCTGCTGACCTTGCGGCTCCTTTGGCAAAATGAAGAATGAAATCGTTCCTCCCAGGGTCCTGTGCCTGGTAGACCATCAGGGGCTCTGCTCGGGTCGCCACTCCACTTGTCAAGTACTCATCCAGCAATGATCTCACGGTGACACGGTCAGGCACCGGCTTTGTGGAGCAATCCGGGCCCCAGTTCAAGTGCCAAAGAGATACGCTGAAGTTGCCAGTCGACGGAATCACATAGGACAAGAGGTACTCTACCTCGGGCTTCTGTGGGAAGAGGGCACGAAGCTGATCAGCAAACGCAGACCGGTCTTTGTGAAAATGGTCGAGATACGCCCAACAGTTCTTGAACCTGTTCACCTCCTTCTCGAAAATGTCAAGAACAACATCGCGGAAATTCTCGTCGGTCACTGTCTCGTGAGGAAAGGTCGTGTCGCTTTCCTCCGACTTCGCGACCTCCATCTTCACATCCGCCATGACAGACAGCAGCCCTAAAGGCGGGTGTCCAGTCTAAAGCCAAGACTTCGCGACGAGAAAAGTTGTCATTTTGCAGGAATTCGGAGACTCCCACACAGGCCAAATCTGACGAACAGGGGGGTCCGAGCTCAGGGGGGGGAGTACGTCAGATTTCAAACGTAATCTGACCATCTTCATATAACAGATGGAGGATCTGACCAACGCAGGGTCACGAGCTCAGGGGGGGTAGTACGTCAGGTTCATATAACAGAACAAGGAGTACGTCAGATTTCAAACGTAATCTGACGATCTGGGGGGTCTGAGCTCGGAGGGTCCTGATCGTCAGGTTCTGCAATTGTACAGACTCCGTTGCTCTCTCTCTTGCTCTCTCTCTCTCTCTATCTCGTCTTCTTCTCTCACTCTCTCACAGAGTGACGACAGCTCTCTCTCAGAGCTTCATACAATGCTACTACGTAGTCCTGCACCTTCTTCTCGTCTTCTGATCTCACTCTCTCACAGAGTGATAGCTCTCTCTCAGAGCTTCATAGAATGCTATTCTGTAGTCCTGCACCTTCTTCTCACCCGGGAAAAGCCAACTTCTAACACGGGCTGACAATCACACTGGTCACATGAGCACACTGCAGCTTCAATCAATCAGAATTTCCAGCGGTCTGCATCTCCAAAACAACATTGAGTGCCAGGCATCTTTCTTGATCTCCATGTCATCAGCATGACCTGATGATGTTCGTTTTCCAGCTTCTAGCAGCAGAGATGCACACTTCCGGGAACAAGACAGAGGCTGTGCTCCTGCTGCCTGCTACGTCTCTGTCGTGCAGAATCAAAGCTTCGCATGTTTTTCCTCATACTTGAATTGCTCTCTTAATTGGTCTGACGATGCAATGTGAATCGGTCCGCTGCCGCTGCACTGCTGTTATTTCTAAGATCGTGCTTAAAAGAACAATAGGACACAGAATAATTGCCTTGTGCGAACAGCTACGGTGCATGTGTCGTAGCAGCATAAACCACGTGGGCCAATTCTTGGCACAACTGTGGTGTGTACTGCTGACAAAACTCACTCAAGGGAATAGAGCCGTTCAGGTTAACACAGCCACGTATGTGCTTGTGTCGCCTTGTGCAGGAACATTGAAACTTTTCAAAGTGGAGAATGTGCGGGCTGTTCGACATGAAACGAGTCCGCTTTCTTATCGGCTCCTTGGTGATAGGGTCCTCCAGACCCAGGCGGCACTGATCGAAAGCACAGGAATAGCAGTTGCTCAGATGCTTCTTTACACACGGCTGTTCCCAGGAGAGTGCATCGACCGGGTGCTCGAAACCAAAGAACCTGCCCTCCTTCACTTGCTCGTCTGCCATCTGCATTGCAAACTCCAGCATAACATCAGCTTGGAGTTTGTCCGCAGCCACTTCAGCTGGAGGCCTTCGCGCAAAATTCTTAAAGCATATCTGCAGTCGGCTGTACATGCGACAGGGCGGGCTCAACATGAGGAACAGGGGTTTCATCTCTGTCACAATTTGACGAGCTCTGGCTCGACCTTCCATTGTCACGAAATCATAGCCTGTCTTCAGGTCCATCGCTGGTCCAACTTGGAGGCCCAAACGCCGCACTGCAAACGAAACCCTTGGCACGCTATAAGCTTCTGCAAAATGAGTGATCGTCATGACCTCATCCTCCTCATCATCGCTCACAATGACAACGGCACTGTCAGAGGGCATCTTGCTATCCACATCCCGGTCCTCATCATCGCTCATAACGACGATGCTTTCAGATGCCATGTTCCTCTGCTTTGTCGTGCTCGACAGAACAGCTACTGGCTACAGTCTTATCCTGCACGTAGCACATTGAGCCTGTGTCCTTCTCTACAAGAGAACAGTCTTGGATCTCGTCATTACGGTCTCACTCACTGTGTGCTACGTGAGCCAATGAAGTCCAGGACGTCTCAAGTCCAGCTCAATCGGAATTCGATGTGGAGTGAGAGCTAACCGAGGCTGCTTGCCTGCTGCACGCCAGCTCAGGGCTGGACCATCCTCCCGGGCAGCAGCCTGCAAGAGAGCACAACGAACAACAGATGCTCAAGCTCCTGCCTGAAAGCAAACATCTATGCACTTGCGCAGCAGATTGATGTCATGTTTTCAAGCTCTCTGTCGCTGTGTCAGAATGTCACGGACTGCAACTCACACGAGCGGATGATTGGCAAAGTGCCTTTCCATCTTTCTGCCTACGATGCTGCTTCAGATCTGCCCTGGCCTCGCTTTTTGTTTTTACCTAGGTTGCTTTTGCGAATAAGATATTATGTCCAGAGTCGACGAGTACGCGAGGCGAGAGGCTGAAGCATCATGACCCATCGGCCCAAATCCAGGCCGTCTTTTCATCATTCAAAACTAGACCCTGCTTGGCCCGACATCTTGCACAACCAATGTGCCTGTTGTGGACGCACTTCGGGCATCCCAGAGTGCACCTTTCATGCACATCGTCTGGAAAGGGCAACATCCCATACCTGGGTTTCTTTCCTCGTGGCTCGGCGGATGCACCTTCACCTTCTGCTCCGCTAGAAGCTGGAGTGCCCGTTGCGGCCTTCGCCTTCGCTTTTCCTTTAGCCTTGCCTTTGGCCTTGGGTTTCACTTGGGCACTGGCCAACGGTGGTATCGGCACTCGAAGCGGCGCTCCCTGTGCTGCACTCGCAGAGGTCGCCGGTGCAAGCTGCGGAGGCTGCTGGTCGTCGTCATCCGGCAACGGCACATCGTCTGATGCCTCGGCCACCTTCTGGACTGGCTTGGACTTGGCAGCTGTGGCCACCTTCTTATTCACTTTCACAGAAACGGGCGCTGGAGCACGATTTGTGAAGCTCAGATCCATCGCCTCGGCTGGCGATGGCTGCTCGGCCTTCACAGCTGAAGCATCTGCTGCCTTCAGGGACAGACGAATGTCTGGAGCAGACCAAGGAGCGGTCGAAGGAGAGGCATTGTTCCTGATCATCGTCCTCAAGTAAGAGCTGGCCCGTCCCATGTTCCATGGCATTTTCGCAATCTGAATCGCTGTTTTTTCAAACTCCTTGGCTTGTGTGTCTGAGAACTCCCTGCGTGGGGCCAGGGGCAGGCTCGCAAAATCGATGTCTCTGCCAACACATGCAGGAATGAAGACAATGGGATCCTGGCACTGATCTGGCGAGGAGATGTATTGGAACATCTCCAAGATGATATCATCCTCATGTGGCGGGAACAAAAGGCACTCTCGCACAGGATGATCCTCGGTTGGATTGTAGTGCTTCCGCTGCACCAAGGAGAAGACATGGATGGCCTCCTCGCCCCTCTGTGTCATGGCGGCTGTTTGCACATGCCCTGCCAACTGTATGGCAGCGAACTCCTCCAGAGCGTCTTTGAAGTTGTAGCTGCCCTCAATCTTCTCCACGTTGATCTTCTGACCCGGCTTGGGCTTCATACCCCCTGCCACCACAGACATGAAGTCTTCAGGTGTCTCCAGGTCCTCGCTGTCAGCCAACAGGGACCGCACCACGCTGAACTTCTGATCAACGGGACCATGAGAATGTCCAACGCGGAAGCTTGTCAGCAAGAACTCCCGGCACCATCCCTGCCGGACCAACACGGCCCCTGCTTTCAGAACAATCTGATTTTTGGTCTCGCCTGCTGCATTATCACTGTGGACCCTGATCACCTTTGGCGCAGATGATCGCTCCTTCATGGCCCTTTGCAGTGTGCGAAGCAGCAGTGTAAGCATGAGGTTGGAGTCTTTCACCACATCTTGGTCCAAAACATAGTAGTCTTCGCAGAACCTGTCCGCCAAGACAGCGGTAAAAGTATTTTCCGGTCTCCACAGCTTCTGAAATTCTTTGGACGCCGACAAGCGCCGTGGGCACTTAAATTTGGCGCAGTCCATGCTGTCGATCGTGAGCGACACCATGGTTTCTCCAGAGCTGCCTTGAGCATTCAGCTCTGCATCCATGCGCCGGTCGTCTAGCATCGACTGCAGGTGCTGGCAGTAATCGTTCTTGATGAGCTGCCGGTCCTCTGGACCGGTCGCCACACGCATCCACTGCTTCAGCTTCTCACACTCGGCGCACTTGGAGTGCTGGAGGTCGTACCTGATCTTGAGCCGCCCATGCCAGGATTGGTGAAAGCATCGGACAAACGTCGAGTAGCTCGGGGCAGGGTCCACCGGCATGAAAGACATCGCCTCAGGTCGCCATGATGTATTTCCCAAATTACCTGCCCAACCGAACCTATGGATTCTATTGAAACTGCTGTTGCTGCTTTCTCAATCTGTCTCCGGCCGGGGGACAACCTGGCGCATCTCTGTGAAGGTCGTGTGTGGCGGCAGATAGCGAACCACTTCATCGCCCAGGGCTGACTCTTTCAAGAGGCCGCTTTTGTTGAAGCTGCCCAGCTTCATCTTCGTTGAGGTGAAAACATCACCAGACTCCACCAAAGGCTCGGCCATGTGCAGATGCACCCACGCCAGCAAACTATGAGCATTCACCTCTGCTGGGTTCGAGGACAATTGGCTCGAGACGACCTTTCGCAAGTCGTTCGGTGGCTCTAGGAAGCCCTGTGCCTGGTGCTTCTGCATCTTCGCAAACCGCCTAGTGCTCATCTTCAGCAAGCCACACATTGCCATTCTGCATACTTTCACCCCGCAGAAAGTGTGCTGCCGCCACCCAGACCCAGTGTGCCAATTGCGCATGCAATCATAGCGGATTCTATCCGAATCTGATTTTGAAGCAGCTTGCAGTGCTTGTTGCAAGTCATCTACGATTCGTTGGGAGGAGCTGCTCTCGCCCAACACCATCAAACATCCTTGCTGGCAGCACCCTCCATTTCTTTCATTTTCTCCATCACTGCCAGAAGGCAAGCTGACAACTTCTGCATCGGAACTTGAGGGCAGCTCCACTTCCTCCTCACTCGCCATGGTATCACGGAAGTCCTAGAACCGATGATCTCTTGCTCTCATGTATATCACGGATGCTGAAGATTCTCCTAGGCCCCTTTGG